ACCCCGGCGACAATGCACGATGGCTAGGACAATCAGTTTCACATATTAATACAATGAAAAAATTGTATTTGTAACTTCGAGATCTACTAGTCTTACCTTTGCTGGATGCGATTTATTCATCGTCATCCCAAGGGTCCCGTTGCGTGACGTTTCCGCGAGCTTTGCCCGCCGTTCTTCCATACCAAATGTCTTTTAACGCCGCCACCATTGCTATCTTGAACNCGATCGCATTATAAATAGGATAATGACCGTATATAGCGGAAGTGATTTTTGACACGTTGAGTGCTTCTGTGCCATATCGATCTCCAAGCCATGTTAAGTGGCTAATTACGTATTCGGTCATACTTTCATTTAAGGAGATGGTCACCGCTTCCTCTAACGTAACACCGCCCAGCGACTTATAATATGCGACCTAAAGAAAGAAAATTACTATAAATATATATACATACATTACATTAATTATTGTTTCACTTACGAGGTCACTGAACTGTTCATCGTTTATTTGGTCCACATCTATAAAATCTTTTAACCTCTTTAAAGGGAAGTATGGTGGACGCGGTACCCTGTTTTTTAATTCAGTCAGCATTAGTCTGAAGATGATGAAGAAGGAGGTAGTATTTCAAGTTGATACATTCGACATAATAAATACTTACTTTTGATTGACATTTATGCGTTCCATTACTTGAGTCAGTGTTCTGTAAAGAGAAAAAAAGTATCAGAACGTTATGCTACAAATACAAGCGATCTACTACTAGAAATAATATATTCGATACTTACTTTTGGTTATCCTCTATCTCGCGGACGAGCTGCATTATTGATCTGCAAATATAAGAGTAGAATCTTATGAAATTTCAATTGCTAATAAATTTGTTAGCATTGGAGCACGTGAGTCCAACTTGGGCTCAAATTAAATCTCGAAATCTCTAGTTTAATTAATTTTTAGCGATAATTCCAACTACATCGACTCTAAACGGATGAAAATCCGTTGCACAAAGTTTCGAAAATGCAAGCTACGTGTCCATGCTATCTGGGTAACGATATAGAATAAATGAGCTAACTTACGTGTTCGAGGGTGCAGATTCTGTTTGCCCGCAGCTGTCAGGAAAGTGAGCGTCGCTATCCAGGGAGGACTGCGAACGTTCGCTCATGTACACCAACATGTAAGCGTTCGTGCAAGGTTTCACTCCTTGACCACCATAATTGTGTTCGATAGCTTCTTCTTTCGTACACCTCGAGACAACATCGTCGTCGAATTTGTACCACTGCTTCAATATTAAGTACATACG